GGGGGGGGGGGGGGGGGGGTTGGGTTAGGGTTTAGGGGGGAATCTGTCACATGATTTACCATGTACTGCTGATGTAAACGAGTCTCGGAACACCTATAGCTGCAGTGCCGGCGTCAAATATTGATCCTGCAGCACTGTCGGAAAGCCGGTTGGAGCCTTAGACAACAGAAACTTGCAGCCCGCCCCCACCTTCGCCCCTTAAACACATGGCTTTGTATAGAGCCTTCAACTGACCGCTTAACCGTAACTCCCAAACCCTAGCCCCAAAAAAACCCGAACTCCTATGAAGCCGTTCTTCAAGCCTCAATAAAGACCCAGGGTTTCTTAATCGGGCTCCTACAAAACACCATAAAATTACAAAGTCAACCTGATATCGTCAGGGACATCATCAACTGCTATAGGGGCCTAAATGATCAGAATAGGGTTTGGTGTATGTTATAGTGTGATTATAATAAGGAGCCCCCTAAACAGTATAGCTAATTATTAAAGCCCCTACATGCCCTACATTAGGATTTGATGTTTGAGTTTCAGGCCGCGGGTTTCGGCGGTATGCTGCGGTATTATGGTAGAAACTCATAAGGGTTTAGGGTTTAGGGTTTAGGGTTTGGTAGATTGCAGTAAATAGTACTACACTACAGTGCCGCATGGTACGTTATAGCGCATTATGTATCATAAGTTTAACATATTATAGTTGTATGGTATACCAAAGTAAAAGCATACCCTAGTACGATGTGAGTTCGGGGTGAGACAACCCGTATGGAACCGGTAGAGTTGTAGCCTTGCACTGCCAGCGCTAGACCCTTCAACCGCCAAGCCCTCAACCACAAGACATGTATGCCCCGAAACTGGAAACCTCAAACCCTAAACCCTAAACCCAAAGCCCAAAACCCTTGAACCCTACACCCTAAACCCTAAAGTTGAATTAGGCGTTTGAGTAGGTTACCTTTATCATGTTCGTTATAAAGGGTTCAGGGTTAAGGGTTTAGGGTCTAGGGTTTAGGGTTTAGGTTATAAACGTCATAGGCCCTAAAGAACCCCAAATGTTAACTTGTCGTTCCTCTAGGCTCCTGCACAGCAAAGGTTTAGGGTTCGGTTCAGGTTGCATAATGCATTTGATATGACTCAGTAAGCTTTGGGTTTTTTTGGTTTGGGGTTTAGGGTCTTTGGGTTTTAGGGTTTAGGGTTTAGGGTTTAGGGTTTAGGGTTTAGGGTTTAGGGTTTAGGGTTTAGGGTTTAGGGTATTTCGGGTTTAGAGTAAGCCAAGGATCCCTCTACAAGCTAGGTAGATGGGGAAGCCTGAATGATTAGTAGCTAATTAGCAAGACTGTTCCCATGGAACTCCTTTTGCCAGTTGATACTATAGCATACCCCAACTTGTCCCCTTCAAGCTATTTTTCAGTATATGCTATAGCATACCCCAAAACCCCAGTTGAATTATCCCCTAAACCCTAAACCCTAAAGCCCCCTACACCCTAAACTGCTGAACCTCTAAAACCCAA